GCTGTTCCTATTATTCTTGGGAAACTGATTTATTTTACAGACCTCGAGTCAAGCTGATGCTTTTTTCTTTTTCCTTGCTCTCGGTCTTAAAGTTAAAAGCTGGTTTTACCATTTTCCTTACTTGTGCTTCTCTGTTTGACAGATTTTCCACCACTTTCTCATGCTTAGACGACCAGTACAAACTTTACTGAAAGTTCCTCATCTGACATATAGAAGTTTTACAGTTGAGAGCGAGTAAGGTATTGTAACATGACCCCACATCTCTCTCTCTCTCCCTGCAACAACGTTGAAGTACTTCCCTGCAGGTTATTTAGATTACAAATCAAAAGAGAAAAAGGTGAACCAGTCGGGTTTTATCATTTATGCTCCCCTTGCGAACTTGTAAATCTGTTACAAGATCAGTAGTGCAGACTTATGGGTCGTTCATAATGATAATACCAATTAAATCAAAATATGAGATTAATAATTATCTATATATTTATATTATTAAAGCACTTGGATTTTAATCAGTTTATAAAAATTAAAAAAGTTTTAATAATTGGGTCATTTTCATGTCTATAGATCATCATCAACCTTGCCACTCATGTTTGATATAATTTGGAGAGTTTCCCAAAGTAATAATAAAGAAAGGATGGAAGAAAAAGAAAGGGGGAGAGGAGAGGAGGGAAGGGAGACGCACTTTCAGCCTTTCACCAGTGAGCTGCGATGCATACATGAAATCCAGAGCTAAAGTAAAGCCTAAAGCTAATAAAGCTAAAGATATGTGTATTAATTAATCAGATTCCCGTTTGACGTCAAAAAAGTGGCTCCTCTATCTGCCAAGGGCGGGCGGGCGGCCCCTTGTTCTAATCAATCTCTCCTTCTCTTTGTGCAAATGCCAAACGAGAAGCAGCTTGGTTTGTTTGATCATGTATTGCCTACACGTACATACACACCTGGGCCTGGCCCCCAAATTATATAACGTGATCCACCTCCAAACATTTGATGAACTCGATCAGTTCAACAACTTAACATACTCCAGTCCAGACGTTTCAGCAGGTTTGAATTCCAAGTTTCACATCATGATTCGTTTTGTTTTTGAAAAAACAACACAAAATCATACATGTTGTCGAAAACCCTTAATGTCGACGCTTTCAGTTTTTGAAAATGAAAAGTTGCCAACGGATCCCGTCTTTAATTGGCTGTAATGGGTTTGGATTTGGATGGCTTGATTTTAAAATTTTAATGAAGCTGCTGACACACCTGCTCCATACACAATTAATAATGATACAACAACAGAACAGAGAACACGTGTTGAACCTATTTACTATTTACTTACAAATCATTCAATATGTTCTCCTTTTCAAGCAATTATATATATATATATATATATATATATATTTAGTATAAATAAAAAGGTAATGCAGGTAAAATAAGGTAAATTGTGCAATTTAATGGTCCCTTGAAGTTGGACACTGATGCAGGAACCAATGAACGTGCTTTCATTAACGAAACAGACAGCATTGTAAGTCTGTAACTACTGATGGATGGATGGATCAGGTCCCCCGGCGCAGGTAAAAAAGTGTAAAATGTTTTAATTGTGATATGATGGACCTCTCATCATCTCTCACTATCCTGTTTTAATTAATTTGCAGCGAAAACAAAACAAGATAAAAGTCATATTCAGATCTGTACGTAGCAATAATCGTTCAAAAAGATTATTTGTGTAGGATGAAACACGTCACTTGGCCATTGATTTATTGCTTTCAAAGTTGACAAAGTAGTTTGGGTTTAAGCCTCTCAAGTAACAGCAGCTTTACTTGTTTTAACACACGCTGCCAAAATAATAAACTGAAGCAATACCCATTACATGATCATGGTCAATATATTTTTTATGTTATGTAAAATTTGTTTTTATTTTAACCATATCCAATGGATCAGTTTCGGGTTAGAGATTTGGACAGACCAATAATTGGACCAGTCCAGACTAAATGGTCCAAAGTATTTATGGGATTGGATTTGACCTGGTCTATTTGTAATTGATTTATATTGGATTAAACCAATATCCAATCTATTGATAGAAGATAAAGATACACATGTGTCAATGGACCAAGTTTGGGTTGGAACCAATCTAAATAAAATACAATTTAAACAAATTAGATGGTCTAAACATTAAATTGGACTGATTTGAAATGTTCTTCTTTAAGTATTCATCAGATTGGATTGGATCTAATCTATATCTATAATAAACTCATATCGGCCAATTGACACCCCTAGGCACCCCATGGAGTGAAAAGAACAATTCATTTTAAAGAGAACAATGACCTTCATTCATATCTATCTGTCTTGGTATTGAATTGAAGCCATTGAATAATAAGCATGTTAGAGTCATACACATCTTTCAGTACTGGGAGCGCTCCTCATCTCTTATCACCCATAATTCTTAAGGCTCACTCATACATATTTGCATTTGTACTCCTTCCAAACTGAGCTTAAACTGATAAAATAGCTACAACAATTTCGTGACCACCTTACATCAATTTCAGTAATGAATATGGACGAAATTAACTAGCTATTGAACAACTACAATATTGAACTGAAGATGATGTTGAAAAGCAACAATCATAAATTCCCAATCCAGGGTTACATCAGTCACAGTGAAATCTTTTCTTTTGTTTTTGGTGATAACAAAGCTTTCAACACGACCATCTACAACCACACATACAAAATTGTATGGGTGGAAGATCGAATGGTTGGTTGTGATTTAGATCATAACAGACTTGTTTTCTTTTCTGTGTGACCCGTTGTGTTTTAACTTGTGATAGCTACATCCATATATGACACTCTCCAGATGAACCCAGCTAATTAAGCTAAAAATGAATAAAAGAAAACAAAGAAGGAGAGAAAAGAAACACGTTTGGCTATATCATTCTCAATGAACCGCCGCAGACCGTAAAGTTTGTCGGTGGCAATTGATTGATTAAGCTTGTGACTATTAATAATGCAATTGCAATTAATTGCACGGTTTTTGATCCCCCCTTGGCTCCTTGGCTGGCCCCTGCCGCCACATACCTTTATCACCCGGATCTATGGGTATGTTTACAGTACTGCCCTGTATTTCTTTCTTTTTTATGTACTATTTTTAATTAATTAATTTTGTTAATAATTTGATTTAATCTTTTTATTCTACGCCATGCAAAGTGGATAGCCGTCCCCAAACCCAGCCAAAGGAATTGAAATTAAAGCAATGTGAAGTGGGCCCATTAAACTTTAAAAAGCATGATGAACCATTGGCTCTCTCTCTCTCTCTCTATATATTATATTATATAGTATCAGTTTGTTGCATTAGAAAAAAAAAAAAAAGTAAAAGTAGGAATAAAATAAAATGTCTTTTTATAATTATATTAGGTACATGTAAATTCTAAAGGTGGCACTTTGGGGTGTTAAGAAATAGAAAATGAACTTAACTTAGCTCTCAACATTTTCAAAGAATAGAATGCTCTCTCATGGGTTGGGAAATTGGGAAGGGGTGCTCCGTTCTCTTCTCCTAATCAACATGTCAACTCTGCATTATTTTGATTAATCTAAATGTGCCAAGTGGCATTCCAAAGTCCAAACTTGATGAGCATGTTCTCTTGTTATATCAATGTCAAGTTGTCAACCTATCTTTTTATTTTCCATTCCTCATGTTGTAATTAATGGAGTAGGAGTGCAAACTCGATTACTATATAATATGCGTTTTTAGTTACATGAATTGTGCTGATTTTCCAAGTCAGCAACCAACCCACGTGCCTAATCAGCTAAATTAATTATTTAAAAATAATAAATTAAAGGCTTAATCCCCCATTTATTTGTGTTTGTGATGTATTTAGCTTTAAACACAACACACCCTCTGGAGCTTTGCTTTGGGCCTTTCAAGAATGTTTACGTATATTCCTACCACGTACGACCCCACCACCCATGGCCCATGTCCTTGATCCATCGCTATTCACTCCGTCTATTGGGCTCAAATACATTGGTCTTTCTTCAATCACACATCCACACACAATTGGCAAGTGCCAACTCTGTGAGGGGCAGGATGTTTGAAAGTTGAAACCCTAAAAAAATGGTCGGCACGGCAGACGCTGTGGATGCAATATAAAGTGAACACGTTGATTGCATGAGTTAGCATGATTTTGATTTTGAGATTGAGAATTTGAGAGAGAGAGCGCTCACTAGCTCGGAGCCTCTATCACTTTTTTAATTTTCGGATAATTCTAAAGGAAAAGACAAAACCCTGGTTTTTGAGATGTGACTCGAGTCAGAATTACAACACTCGCGTCTGGCTACACCCAAATGTCAAGTAGAACTTAATCCAATCCTCTTCCTCCTCTTACCAGAAACCAGAGAGAGGTGGGCTGGCCGTGGTCCTGGCTCCTGGGTGTTGTATTTATTAGCAACACAGTAATTAGTTTTGGGAGCATGTTTGTAATTGACAGAAAAGAAAAAGGACTAATCAGTCACACCACCCAACAAAACAACACATCCACACGGATCACAATGCCTTTTTATTATTGTTGAAGATTGTTCTTCAGCAATAAAAACACTCCTAACTGAAATTTTTGGGAGACAGCAAGGAAGTAGCGAGAAAAAAAGACTGTGTCGGTTGTCCTTTTTCTGTTTCATTTTTCATTTTTCATTTATTTTCTTCACTTTCTTTTCTTTTTATTGCTTTTGTTTTTTTCTCCGCACAGAGTTGGGTACCTTGCTGTGTGCTTACGGTGCCAAAAGAAGTGTGAAAATTACCTTCTTTCTTCTCTGTGACTCTGTGCTTGCGTTATTAGAGAGTCTACTATGTATGAGAAGAAAGGGAGTTCTTAACTTCTTATTATGCTTTTTAGTCTTATTTTGTTTATTTGTTCTTTTTTAAGAAAAATATAGGTTGCTTAGCAAATGCTTTTTACCTTTATCTTTACGCGGGGTGAATGAAGAGGAAATAAACAATTATTAATTGCAGATTCCTTGGTTGCAGAGAGGTATTTTGGTTTCTTTCTCGCTTTTGGTCATTTCGGTCGCCTTTTTTTTTATTTTTCTTCTTTCTTCAACTTCTCTCTGTCTCTCACTCGTCTCTTGGTTTCTGAAGTGGGTTTTGGGCTTTTAAACTTCTGGGTCTATTCATTTCATTTCTCTCTTTTAGTGAACTTCAAAAGGGTGGTGTTGCAGGGTTTTTCTTCACTCTAATGCTTGCCATTTGATTTTCTTCTCCAGATTGTTCTCTGGCTCCTTTTTGCTTCTGGGTTTCTGTGTTTTCTGTCGCAGTTTGAGTCTCTCCCTACCTCTCCTTATCACACTAAACATCTATCCGGGTGTTTTCTATCTGTTTTTGCTTGCGGTGATCTGAGGGATTTGGACTTTGCGTTGTGCGGATATTTCGCTTTTGTTGTGCGTAGAGGTTAATTTGTTGTTGCTTTTAGAGTAAGAGGAGGAGAAGAAGAGAAACCATGGCGGGTGGTGGTGGTGGAGCGGCGCCGCCGCCGAAACAGGACGAGTTGCAACCACATCCGGTCAAGGATCAGTTGCCCAATATTGCTTACTGCATTACAAGTCCTCCTCCGTGGCGTGAGTCTCTCCCTTCTGTTATTTCTTCTTTTTCATTATAGCTTTCGAGTTTTTTCTGTACTGTTCGAGGCGTAAAATTACTTCTGGTATTTTCCTTCATTCATATTCATGCACTTTTTTTTTTTTTTTCCATTTTATGTTAAGGTATCCCTTTGATTCTGATTTTTCTTGGTAATGTATTTTATTGCTTGTAACCTGGAACTCATATTGTCATATATTCATATTTATTTGTTTCTGGGGTTGGTAATCTGATGATATTCCTTTTACTATTGGTTGACCATTTTGTTCTCTTTACTTACTATTATTGACTACCTACAAGGACTACGTGTTCCTTTTCCTTTTACCGGTGAAGCCTCTTCTCCGCCATCCTCTGATTTGTATCGGAATCCCCATCTTGTATTTTGCATATCTCGGATGTAGTTTCCATGTGTTCAGGGTTTTGGATTGATTCAAATGGATTCCATTTTGGTTGAATTCTGTTTTTCCCCCACCGAATTCTACTGCTTCCCGTATTTGTAGCAATGCCAGAGTAGTTCTTCTTACTGTTTACATGCTTTGGTTATTTGTAATGCAGCGGAGGCCATCCTGCTTGGTTTCCAACATTACCTTGTTATGCTGGGCACAACAGTTATTATTCCCACTGCTCTTGTTCCCCAGATGGGTGGGGGAAATGTAAGAATTAGTAACACATGGATATTAAAAGTTTATTGCTATCGTTTATTCTTCACCTTATTTTTCTAATGTTTCTTATCTGCATTACCATCGTCTTCTGTGTTTAACCACAGGAGGAGAAAGCAAAGGTGATCCAGACACTGCTATTTGTTGCTGGATTGAACACACTGTTCCAAACATTGTTTGGAACCCGATTACCTGCAGTTATTGGAGGGTCTTATACCTTCGTGGCACCCACCATTTCAATAATTTTGGCTGGACGACACAATGATACTGTGGACCCCCATGCAGTATTGTCATCTCAACACCATAATCCTAAGTTATTTTGTGTTGTTTTTCATGCTAGTGTTGTAATATGAAATCTATTCTCCAATGCCTTAACAGAAATTTGAGCGCATTATGCGAGCAATCCAGGGGTCCCTTATTGTTGCATCAACTCTTCAGATTGTCATTGGTTTCAGCGGTCTTTGGCGCAACATCACAAGGTTAGTCTAGGATATTTGAAGATGAAAATCTCAGACCTTGCTGAGCCCAGGACTTAATCAGGACTTGTATGGTTGTATGTGTTAATGGTGCATTGCACTGAATTAGAAGGTGAAAAATGTATCAATGAAGCCATGCTTTGTTCTGGCTGAGTGATGCATTATACTTCTTGAGGTTGACATCAGTCCTGTTCCTGTTTGGTGATGCATTATCAACGAAGCCATGATTTGTTATGGTTGAGTGATGCATTATACTGCTGCTTGAGGTTGACGTCGGTCCTGTTAACTGGCCTGTATTGTACTTGATTTGCCTGAGATGATCTGTGATAATTAACTGAAAATAAGCTCCAAATATTTGCGTTTAACACTAGAATTTTAAAGCTTGACTTTCAATGCACAGTTCCATTGAATCTTCTGAATTGTGTTTGTTCATCTTATAATCCTGCCTGATTTTGTCTGTCCAGGTTCTTAAGTCCACTTTCAGCCGTACCCTTGGTAGCTCTAGCTGGGTTTGGACTATATGAGCTTGGTTTTCCTGGGGTAAGTATCTAGAAATAGCTTTACAACTGCAGTAAAAAGATGTGGGGAAAGATCTCTTCTATACTGATTTTTTCGTAATGTCCTTGTATTATCACCATTCTTTTAAAACTATGGTGCCTAGTCTTTTCAAATGATATATATTTTTTTATCAGTAACCTTTTCAAATGATATTTTTTTATCAGTAACTTTCTCAAATAATATTCTTCAAAAGGATGAATTTTTAGTAGTTTTTTTTTTCAAAACTGAACCCACTATCCTTGGTAAAACTTATCTGAGCATTATTGCCTCAATTTTTAGGTCGCTAAATGTGTGGAAATTGGACTGCCACAGCTCATCCTGCTTGTAATTTTCTCACAGGTAATGCTTTGGGATATGTGATATACAACCAATAATCTTGTTGCAATAGAAATTGTTATAAAATATCAACTTTTACTTACGTGGTGTAAAATTGAGACTTGTTATCAACACTCTATTTTCTTCTTGGGGATTCTTCTAAGTGGCACTGATGGTAAATGCTTGTTTGCAGTATATTCCCCATGTGATTCGAACAGAGAGGCATGTCTTTGATCGATTTGCTGTTTTCTTCTCAGTCATAATTGTGTGGGTTTATGCTCACCTCCTCACTGTAGGTGGGGCCTATAAGAATGCAGGGCACAATACTCAACAAACTTGCCGCACCGATCGTTCTGGTCTCGTGGAAGCCGCTCCATGGTAAGACTTTTGGTAGTATCATCATGATGCATGACCATCAATTATTGCTACTGTACCAATTACAATTGTTGTTGCTATATTGCAGAAAATCATGTTTTTCTTTTTCTTTTTTTTTTTTTCTTTTATGTGAAATCTATAAACAAATGCTTGGTTTTTTTCGATTCTGAGTGGGTGCAAGTTACTAGTCAGTTATATTTACATAAAAAAGCTGGTCTCATTGTAGCCATAGATGACATTCTCATAGATGGGTATTAATTATTATTTGGTTGTGATTTATGTGATGTGTACATGCAGGATAAGAGTTCCTTATCCATTTCAGTGGGGGGCACCAACATTTGATGCAGGTGAAGCCTTCGCTATGATGGCCGCCTCATTTGTTGCCCTTGTTGAGGTTTGGTTACTTGTATATCTTCATAATTTGTGCCCTGGGTGCATGAATTTGTCTCATGCCTTTTATTTTGGTTGGAACTCTTTCATTGAATTATCACTTTAATTGTCTATATTATTATGATGATTTGTTGGCATTGTTATGATATCTCTCTAAAATTATGCAACATAAAACGATATCTTTCCTTCTATATTAAGTTCACTGTTCCTCACATTTTTGAAGTTTCTTTCATAATCTCACTTCAACGGCTCCCTCCACTTGAATATTCTATTTTTAAAGAGAAAGTTCCCAATTGCATATTGAGCTAGTTGGGATGTGCTCCAATGTAGATATTTTAACATTTTATACATAATAATGTATGATATGAATATAATGTTTTATAGTTACTAGTTCTAGTTCCTTATAAATTGATTGTGCCCAATACAGTCCACTGGTGCTTTCATTGCGGTATCAAGGTATGCAAGTGCAACTCCCTTGCCACCTTCTATTCTAAGCCGTGGAGTTGGTTGGCAGGTAATGATGATAATACATAGTTGTCATGCCTTGCAGACAGATACCATTCATTCTCTTGAACTTCTGATGGCAATAAGTTTGTTTGTTTATGATTTCAGGGTGTTGGAATTCTGTTTTCTGGTATATTTGGAACTGTAAATGGATCATCTGTATCTGTGTAAGACTCTTTATTAGGAAAAACTTTGTGCTTCATGAGAGTTATGCTTTTACCAATTTTTTCTGACTGACGTGAGAATTCAACAATATTGTCCTGCAGCGAGAATGCTGGTTTATTGGCTTTGACACGTGTTGGCAGCCGAAGGGTTGTCCAAATATCAGCTGGATTTATGATATTCTTTTCTGTCCTGGGTAAGTTGCTCCTATGCACTTTGAAAATAATAATCTTGTTCTGTTTTTTACTGGCATTGTTAAATTCTGACCATATCTTATGTTCCATGGCTATATAGGAAAATTTGGAGCAGTATTTGCATCTATTCCTGCCCCAATCATTGCTGCCTTCTATTGCTTGTTCTTTGCTTATGTTGGTATGTTTTGATAAACTTGCAGCCCTTGTAATCCTAGGTTATTTTATTATGTTTGAATCAGGTTAACATTAAGGTTCTCTTCCTTTGTCCATGACAAACAGGCTCGGCAGGTCTAAGCTTCCTTCAGTTCTGCAACCTCAATAGCTTCAGAACAAAGTTCATATTAGGCTTCTCGTTTTTCATGGGCTTATCCGTGCCACAATACTTCAACGAGTATACAGCAGTAAATGGCTATGGGCCAGTTCACACACGAGCGAGATGGGTATAATAAATAAAATAATAAAAGAAAAAAAAACCCTTATCTAATGTTTTCTCAATCTTGAATCAAGTAGATTGCACCTAATTCGTGGCTTGTCGTCTTGCATGCAGTTCAATGACATCATCAATGTACCCTTCTCCTCGGAGGCGTTTGTAGCCGGCATCTTGGCACTGTTCTTGGACATCACGTTGCATAGGAAGGACAGTGCAACTAGGAAAGATAGTGGCATGCACTGGTGGGTCAAGTTCCGGTCCTTCAAGACAGACACCAGGAGTGAGGAATTCTACTCTCTGCCCTTCAACCTCAACAAGTTCTTCCCTTCAGTGTGATCTTCTCTTCTGTGGGATGCGTTCGCAGGTCTGTAATGAAGTCATGCTCCCCTCCATAAATGTCTTTTGGGGGTGGGGGGAATTCTACATTTCTACTCCCTCCCTCTGCCTCGTTTGTCTTCTCCACTCTATTCTGATGATGGAAACCCGGATGGTATATTCGAATCTTAAGCCAATTAATTACACGATGCCTACGACTACGGACATTTTGTTTCCTTCTTTTCTTTGAATTATTATATTTATTTTTATTTCTTGTAAATCCAAATAGTTTAAAATGGATTTGAAGTGGGTAAAGAAACAAATTTAGTACTTGTAATCTTGTAATTGATTCTCTCTACTTTTATTTGAGCTTTTGTGTACTTGTGGCGTTGAAGAGGTTTCAATTTCAGATAGGTGTTGAATGGTTTGTGGTTATAGGTAGGTAGGTAACGGCAACATTTGCCATTTGGCAAGTTTTCACTTTTATTCTCCCTGCAGCTACCGCTTTTAGGAGGTGTTTAAAAACTGGAAAAAAAAGGCTTTGGGGTAAATGTAAAGAATAAAGAACTACATATTAATTGAATTTTGATTGTGGTCTAGAGTAGTATGACGTGCCCTCCCGAGATCTGCGCATTATTTTTCTCTAGTTGACACTCGTTCGTTCGGTTGCTTCTCTCCCTCAAATGCTTGAAATACTAACCGCAAGAGAGGGTAGCGACTACCGACTAGCGAGCAGGCAGTGACTGGGACGTGAGTGTAAATGAAAATAAGCGAATGTTTGTCAATTAGGAGATTCACAGGATCAAACATTAAATGAAAATGGGGAAGGATTCATTTACCCATAGGCCATACATAGTTATAGGAGATCGAGGTTGTTGCGATCACCACCTCTCTGATAGTCTGATTTGAGACGGAGGCCTGGAGTTAGGACTTTCATTATCATGACTTTGTTATTTTTCCTACTACTATACCAACCCTACTAATTAATCCCCGGTATTCACTCGGGGTAAAAAGTTGTTAGCAAAAAAAAGGGTAAATTACAAAAACCCCCTTCTACTATGGGGTCTGTGACAAAGACCCCCTGTATTTTTTTTGTTTTGCAACAAAGATCCCTCTGAGCTTTGGCTGTTAGACGAGACCCCTCTCCGTTAACGTTCCGTCAGTTAATTTAAAAAAATATTATTTTCATTTGAGTGTTTAAAATTTTTTAAATGCCCGAATTACCCTTTTATAATTAAATTATTATTATTATTATTATTTTAAATTTATGAAATCATCTACACCACTATTCCTTGGAGTAATATATCGTCCTCGTTGCCTCCTTGGCATCCCCAAAAAAAGGCAAGTATAGTCTCATGCTCTTGCAGAGCGACGCATGATTGTAAACCATATCCTTTCGTTGCTCAAATTCAAGTGCGGTGGTGAATTCTGGAGATGGAAACGAGGGAGACAAGTATTTTGGGTCAAATCCGAAAGCAATCTTGCAAATGTTGTCAGAGGATATCTTATAGATTGATCACGGACTTCTCTACAACGACCATAGAGAGATTCTGGTTGTATAACTAAAAATGCAGCATTCGAATCCATGGACATAAAAATAGAGAGTGATGATCTGGAAGACAAAAGAGAAAGGAACGACGATACCTCCAGCAAGAAAGAACGACTTGACCCTCCAATTGAAATCTGACAATCCGAAAGGTTTCATGTAATTGCTCCTTTGATGGAACTGGTTCATAACCATAGATAACTACTTGTGTGAACCCGAAATTGCATTTGTTAATTCGACAGCTAGTTTAGTTCAGTACGTACTTGAGTAAAACCATCAATAAATATGAAAATAGACATGGATGCTGAACTGAGAAACGGGGCCATGCTAGTTTAGTTCAGTATGTACTTGAGTTCAAGTGTTCAACAGCTAGGTCGATTTGAGTACAACCAACGATATATATATATATATATATATATATCAAAATGTCCCAATGTTTCGAAATCAATCTGGTCAATTCCACTGCTGTTATATATGGACTTGTGGGCATGGGCACAACCTGATTGAACTTATTTGATTCAGCTTCACCCTTGCAGTTTCATAAAGCAGGTTGCAAATTCTTCGGAGACATGCATAAGATATATGTTGCTTTCTTGTAAACGATCCTTTGTGGACAAATAATTAAGTTTGGTGAGATGACAAGAAAAAAAAATAGAGAAAATTTAGTAGGATATTTTGGTAATTTAACGGCTTTTGTCACCTGATTTAATGGCCGAGAGGGTATTTGTTGTAATGTAAAAATTTAGGGAGGTCTGTTGTAAATTAAAATACAGGGGGTCTTTGTCACAGACCCATAGTACGAAGGGGGCCTTTATAATTTACCCTAAAAAACAAGAAAAGTCATGAATAAGGATTACGAAATTTTCAGTAATTATGGTTTCATATTATTGAGAATTACGGTCTGAGAAAGCTGAAAGATGATGAAAATAGAAAAGGACCAAAAAATCGTATATCAAATGGTCCATATCATTCAACTGCTCTGCCAGATTGATAGTTATGTATGAATATTGAATAACAATCTTAATCCTTGTTGTAATTTCGTAGACGGAACTCCTGAATGATGATGAAGCATGGCTCCAAGCCAAGGTGTCCCTCCTCCTTTCTTTCTATTCATGGGAGGCCACGTCTCCATGTTTGTTGATAATTGATGTATTTTATATCTATTTAGACTTCTTAATCTTGACTAGTCTCTAGAGGAGAGGGTTAATCCAACAATTTTCTTTTTTTTTTTATTAACTAGAAATTGGATTTAGGTAACAAGTCTTTAGTTATTGACGAGAAGGCTTTAAGCATGCACCCCAATGGCAATGACGAACTAGGAATCTCTTTTCAACAAACGACGTCTTGGGTCTTGTGTGTAACTTAATGGCCAAGAAACCTTTTCTTGCCAAGGAGGTATCCATATTAGTATACAACAAAGATCAGGTCGGTATTATTGATGAGTTTTATTACTTTTTTTAGAATTTTATAGCATGTTTTATTAGGGGCCAAATCTTTTTGGAAAGATCTTTTGTGACAGTATTAAGCTTTTGTATTAAGATCTGAACAGTCTGAAGTTTATTTGGTTAGTCTCGTCTTTTTTATATGAAGATAAATAGAAAAAAATAAATGCAAAAGCTCTATTTAAAACTCTCAAAATTGCTTATTTTAGATTTCTTGCATTTTTTCAATGCATTGGCTTTTAGTGATTAAATCTATCACGAACCAAATGGGAAAAGATCAAATCACGGATTATTAGACTTGACCACATGAAAAGATGTACCAAACGGAGCCTTAGTTTTTCTAAATGTAAACCAAATGTGTTGCCATCAAGCATAAAGCTTGTTGAGCAATGATCCCTGGAGAAGATTCGAGGTGCTTAATTAATTATAGAATGTCATCTGAAGTTGTCACCCAATATTATTGAATTAGCATCCAAATTGGAAAGATGGGATCTGATGGTGGTGGGCACTGGGCATCTAATTTATTGCATTAAGAAACATCATTCACTAGGAGATCATGGAGAAATATAAAGGGTCATAACACCAAGTATAAATGCTTTGTATAGAGCAAGCAAACTTTGCAATTCTGTCTACAATTTGATTTGATTCTCTGTGGGCGAAGGAAAGTGCGCAATAGCAAAGGAAGTCATAAAACTTCTGCGGTCATCCACAACAGAAGAGATGCACCACGATGGATTATAACTTTATATTGTCGGATTGGATTTGCATCCCTAGAGAAGAATATCTCTAATAATACAAAGCTCTCACTTACAACTTTGCCCAAAAATATGGAGGTATCAACAAATAAAATATGGTTTAGAGTAAACGTACCTTGTCCAAAGCGAATACCAATAAGTTGTCAACAAGCAGCCTTGATGAAGCCCTCGGGATGGAAAAATTGCATCACCTCTTTCTCCATTAATGATGATTTTGTAGTGGTCCAAGGAAACACATGCAAGGATAAGGTCTTACAAGAGCAAAACCTCACAATTTAAGTGTGAATGAGAAAAGTCCATTCAACCTTCTCATAAGCTTTATTTAAATCAACCTTAATCAAGAAGTTTCTGTTATGTCCCTTAACTCTATGCATGATTATCTACTATTTGGTGACCCAGTACAAAAATTGCTGAAACCTCTTTTGACGTTTCTAGTTGTTGTTGAAACTTCTCCTGAATTTTGGTAATTGTAATCATCTCTCCTGAACTTTTTGACATAATCTTCTATAAAAAAAAAGGCATGAAAATGTCTAAAATACCCATGCAATTACTTTTAACAAAAAAAAATGTTTGTTTTTCAAATTTTGTCTTATATTAATCACTACCCCAACCCCCCCCCCCCCAATCTCTTTTCTGAAATTGATTTATTTTCCAAAGTTTTCCTTCATAAAAATCACTCAAAGATAATAAAAATTGCAACTTTAAATTTTCTTTGTTTTTGTTGCTCATAAAGTTTGTATTGTTTTTTTCTCCTAAAAATCAGTCTCAATAGTAACTGCATGGGTATTTTGGACATTTTCATGCTCTTCTTTTTTTTTATAGAAGATTCTACAAGAGGGGGTCTACTTGCAACTGCATTAGAAAGTTCAAGGGAAGTGATTGCAACTACTAAACTTCAGGGAAGGTTTCAGCAACGGTCAAAAACTTTAGTGGAGATTTCAGCAATTTACCCAATGCATTTTGGAGTCGTGTAACTAAATCTGTCCAAAAAGGCTGTAATCTAGATGAAATAATTTTGGTATTTACTTTATAGGAAACATTTGAGAGCCCAATTGGATGGAAGTGGGTTACCCTTTCCACCATATGCTTCTTTTGGAACCAACACTGTCAGTGGCATTCACTTCTTTAATCAACCAGAGACCACCAAATGCATTCTGAACAAATTCAGTTATGATAGGGTAAATGTCATCCCAACACTTCTGATAAAAAGTGAAGGCATACTTCATTGGGGCTGGGAGCCTTGAAGGGCCCTAATAGAGAATAGGGCTCAGTTTGAAAAAAGTACAAATGCAAATATGTAGAATGCAAAACCTTGTATTTTGTATATATCTGCACTGTACATTTTTGTATCTGTACTCCTTCCAAACTGAGCCTAGAAAGTGCAGCATTTTGTTCTAGGGTAACACTAGCCGGCAAAAGGCTTATTCCATATCCATAATTTCGACTTTGATTTTCTCTTTAATTTCCGAGAATGCAGCATTGATTTCCTCTTTAATTTCGATTCTGATTAGTAGACCTACTTACTCAATATCTATAATTTATTTTTATATAATTAAATATACCTTGTGACTCTTTTATTTTCATTTTCTTTCAAATTTTCAAAGCATACCCTGGCCAATGGACTGGTTCTTTTACCTTATGAGTTTTTTTT